GGGGCCCTGCCTCAGGACCTGGCCGCCGCGGGCTGGTCACTTGATCTCCCCGCGCCGCAGCGACAGTCTGCAAAAAACGCGGACGCCTCGGGAAACCCAGCGCGACATGGCTTCCTTTACGTGACCGTCCCCTGCGGTCCCTCTCAGGGGGATCAGTTTAAAAAACCTGCTTCTCGTTTTGGTTTTGTGTCTGGCGCTGTGGATCAAAGCCTCAGCCCTGAACTCTTGCTAGGCAGTCGTTTTACCAGTACTGCCCTTGTAATTTTGAAATAGATTTTTAATCCCCTTCAGTCATATTTTCTGTAATTCAAAGGAAACACATGTAAAAATGATGTAGTGGGCCGGGGGTGTAGCTCAGTGGCACCGCGCCTGCCTGGCAAGCACAAAGTCCTGAGTTTGATCCCCGGTACCCCCCGCCCCCGAGAACGTAGCGTAGTGGAGTATTTGCTATCTATAGTGTTGGGGAAGGGAGGATTTGGATAGTTGGGCAGTGTTATAATTTTAACAACTTTTTTTTTTTTTTTTTTTTTTTTTTTTTTGGTGTTTTTGATTAGCGTCGCGGCCTAGCCAGGAAGGTTTTGATGTTGTAATGCCACGGTTGCACCATCAGGGGTGAAAAGTTAACAGGATTAAACCTGAAGCCCCCAGACTATAATATTTAGGGCCTTTTCATGTCAGCTGAGTGACTGCCTTGCTTGAGATACATTTACATGTCCTATCCGTTTTTAAGTTATAAAAGTGGCATCTGGGTAAAGAGCACTTTGATACCACTTTTGTTTTCTTTTGCTTTTTTGGGCGACCAGGTCTCACTACCTCACTCAGCCTTCCTAGTGGAGAGTTGAGATTACAGACATGTGCCACCTTGGCCGGCAGTTACACTTTTTAATGTATGTGACTTTGGGCACATCCTTTTTGTGATCCCATTGTTTTCAGCTGAAAAGGAGAATATTTTGCTGCATTCTTGGGAATGACATGATAATTTATGCAATTGTCCTGCTGTAGTCATGTTCACAGTACTGTGCCCAAACATTTAAGTTTCAAATGGAGAAGTAGTAGACTTAACTAGTCACTAGCATTTTGTCGCTTAATTTATAAAATAAGAACTTCCAGTTAGGAAGGGAAAGTGCTGCTTTTCTGTTAGATTTAAAGAGGAGGGCTAAAAATTGAATGTTCATTTAGTGTTTCAGTAAGTTTATTATACTTATTTTCTGACACAGTCTTGCTGTGTAATTCAGGCTGGCCTGAATCTCACCATGTAGCCCAGGCTGGCCTGGAATTCGGTGATCCTCCTGCCTCAGCCTCCCTGAGTGCTGGGATTAAAGGCATGTGCCATCAGCCCAGCTAGTTGAGCAAATTTTAGAAGTAAATTTCAACATAGCCACCTAGAAAATACCTAGTAAACTTGAAAGTGACCCAGTAATTCTCAGTTTTACACCCTAGCCCAGACTCTAAAGACCTTGGAAAACCTTTGCACATTTGCCCCAGGAGCCATAAAAATGTTTATGCCAACATTGTTGGTGAGAATAGCATATTCAAAATAACTCCTTGTCCCAATAAATTGTGGGTGTTTGTATATTTGAATATGATATAGCAGTGAAAAAGGAAAAACTTAAATTATCTCAGGTAATTGTCAAACATGTTGAGTTTTTTTTCAAGTAGGTTGACCTATTTAAGGATACAGGCAAATAGGACAACTATAAAAACTGAAGGAATGGTTAACAGAATTCAAGGTAGTTGTTAATGGTGGGGGTGTGAACTTGGAAAAGGCACATGGAGGCTCACAACATACTGATAGTGGTATTCTCTTTACTGTGGGTAATATTTCACCATAAATATGATTTAATAGTTACTACTTGGAAAGAGAAATGGTGAATTTTGATCCATATTTTGTATTGACTCATTGAGAATCAGATGACATGTAAATACTAAGTTTTTTCTTTTTAAGCTCGACATAATTTCACTCACTTGCATTTTCCTTCTTGATTTGAATTGCTGTTGTTTCATGCTTCTGAATTGAATTGTTGGAAATAGAATGGGTGTGGTCAACACATGCATTCAGTCCATTGGCTGTGCATTACACACTTAAACTAGTATGGTTTTGCATGCTAATACATGGGTTTTCCAGTCTTAAAAGCTGAATTTATCATATAGCCAAATTTAACTGCTACTCACTTGACAGTAATGAACAGCAAAGTGAACCAGGAAGTGGGCTATGTATTAATGGTGGCATGGATAACTACAGGGGTAAAAGGGCTCCCCAAAATTCTGATGTCAGTATTATAAACAAGGCATTGTATTTTCTAAGAGCCTCTCATTTTTACTTGAATCTTACAGTATGCGAGTACCCAGTATTTCTTGAAGAGAATCTACGTCGAATCCTTTTGTTTTACAAGTAGGAGGAATAGTCAATCCAGATGGCCTTTGGTTTCTGAGAACATGTTACTGATATATTTACCTTGATGCTTTTCCTGTTTTTTCCTTCTCACTGGTTCTGCAGCAGTATAGGTCACATCAGTTTATTGAGTGTAGATAACCTACAATGCCAACAAATTTCCTGCCATAAATCTGTAATTCGACAAATAAATAGCTGGTAGTTAAGCCCAAGTGTTCTCATGGCTGGAGTTACAGGAAATTGAAGCTCTTTAAAATGCAGTGGAAAATGCCTGTAATCAGCAGCACTTTGCAGGGCTGAGGCAGGAGGATCACAAGTTGGAGCCCAGTTTTGGCTACTTAGCAAGACCCTATCTCAGAAATTAAAGGGCTGGAAGCCGGGCGTGGTGGTGCACACCTGTAATCCCTGCACTGGGAGGCTGAGGCAGGAGGATCACTGTGAGTTCGAGACCAGCCTGGGCTACATAGTTCCATGTCAGTCTCAACTACATAGTGAGACCCTGTCTCAAAAAATTAAAGGGCTGGACTTGCAGCTTTGTGCATGGGCCCTGAATTTAGTCCTCAAGACTGGGAAAAATAAACACCTTTTATAAGACATCATGAGTTAAGAGTGAGAAAGGCTATTTAAATTGAGTATTTTACAAGGAGTAAGGAAATGGGATGAAAAAAATGGCCTTATAGTCATCTTAGTATTAGAATTATCTAGTAAAATTAACTTCTAATTTATTACAGCTCAGATTGGCTAGTGGCCATGTTTGTATTTCCATTTAGCTTGTTCGTTGGAAAGGATATATTTTGAAAATCCAGATTTGAGTTTTTAAAACCTTAAATATGGTTTATTGATGATTTCCCCTATAAATTAAATTTGTTCTGGCTCCTTTGTTAGTATTGACTAAAGGTAAAGACCCATTCACTAGACTTTGATAGATCCTAGTAGTTTCCCTTTGCATTTTAGTAGAGCAGAAGTGTTCTTATGGTCTAAAAGGGGAAAGTGATCTGAAAAGCTGTTCAAAATTTGGGGAACTTCCTTGAAATATATTTTTCTCCCATCCATTACAGTGCCCTTAATTTAAGCTTTTTCTCTTCTCTCACAAGAGTTTTATGCTTTACTCTCTTTAGTATCTCTAGCACCATGTAAACAGTATGTTGAATGAATAGATGCAGTTGAGTGTTAAGCTGCATCAGATACTGTTTGAAGCAGATGCTCATAAGGTTTGAGGAACATGCTGGTAGTATCCTAGAAGTCCATCTATTTGCACGTTTTTTAGGGCACATAAGATAACATTGCTTTGGGCTGGGGATTTAGCTTAGTGGTTCCGCTGGCTGCTAAAAAAGATAACATTGCTTTTAAAAAATACCAATGAACTAAAAATTCTTGTTTCTAGATTTGGAGCAAGAGGTGGTGGTGGCCTTCCCCCGAAGAAATTTGGTAATCCTGGGGAGCGTTTACGTAAAAAGAAGTGGGATTTGAGTGAGCTCCCCAAGTTTGAGAAAAATTTTTATGTCGAACATCCAGAAGTGGCGAGGCTGACTCCAGTAAGTCTGTGTTTTACTGTTTTTATACAGAGGAATGAAACAGAAGTACTGGCCAGAATTTATTTGTTGTTGTTTTTTACTTTATTATAGTATAGAGTACTTGGATTCTTATAGCTGAGCTCCGCCTCCTGGAGCTCCCCCCCACTTTTTGTGTCGTGTTGGAGTTGGAACCCAGAGCCTTGCACTTGCTAGGCAAGTGTCCTACCACTGAGCTACACTCCCGTCATGTATTCTTAGAGTCTTAAGAAGACTACTTGATACTCAACCAGGGACCAGTTTAAGTATCCACATAATGTATTGCTTGGTGCTTACTTGTTGATTGTTTTATAGTGCATTTCTTATACATGGTTTTAGCTACATATTAAGTTAGGTCTTCATTTATGAGGTAAATTTTAATAGTAAATTGACATTTTGTACTCCTCTTTTTAACTTCCTGATTATTTTGGACTCCACTTTTGAAGCAGTTGCTTATTTGGAAAAAAAGTAATTTAAAAATACACTTGGCTCCACTTTGCAAATACTTACCCACTTCCTAGTTCTGACCTTAAATGGAAGTTACATGCATGCATGTTTCCTTGCATAGATGGGACCCGCAGCCACCTGTATTGTTAAATCACACGGTTAGGAGAATCCTCACAAAGTTGAAGCAGTATGCTGCATGTGAAAGCCTTATATAGCACTGTTATATGGGTTGGGTAATAATTTTTTGATTGGCTGATAAAAGTTTTGAATGATAAAAGTTTTGGATATGGACAATAACTTTTACTAATTCATCTTCATTTTTTTCTGCTAGTATGAGGTTGATGAGCTACGCCGAAAAAAAGAGATTACAGTTCGAGGGGGAGATGTTTGTCCTAAGCCTGTCTTTGCCTTCCATCATGCTAACTTCCCACGTAAGTGTTCTTCGGCCCAAAATCTTGATTATTACATTTCAGTTGAGTGGTAAACATGAGTAATAGGTTATTTAAAGGTTTTAGAGCTGGATGTGATGGTGCTGTAATCCATCCAGAGCTGAGGCAGGAAGATGTGTCAGTTCAAGGCCATGCTGGACTACATAGTAAGACCCTGACCCAGTCTCGAGATTTTGTGGAAAAGACAAGTAGAAACCTTTCAAAAAGGTAGTAACTTATATAATGATTTCTAAAACTTTTTAAGCTGCTTAAATTAAGGTTAGTGGTAAATAGGTTGGTGCATAAGAATTTTTTTGTGCTTATCTGCTATTTAGATTAAGGAGTCTTTTGTTCACTTTCCTCTTCCTTGTATAAAACAGCAGAATGAAACTGCTTTCTAGCTGAAGAATTTGCCTAACGGTGTGACTGTTGTATATCTGTGCCATTAGATGTGGTAGCCATAGTGGTTTTGAAAAGTAGTGATGAGATGGAGGTAGATTCCTTTTTTTTTTTTTTTTTTTAAGGCGGTAATGTTTATTTGCTTACAGAATACGTAATGGATGTGTTGATGGATCAGCACTTTACAGAACCAACTCCAATTCAGTGCCAGGGATTTCCATTAGCTCTTAGTGGCCGGGATATGGTGGGCATTGCTCAGACGGGCTCTGGGAAGACATTGGCGGTGAGTACCAGCACATGGAGACCTTTGACATTGTGGTAACTTACTTTACTATCCTAATTGTCACAAAAGTATAATTCAGTAGTGTGATATGCTAGCTGTCAAATATATGGACATTATTTCATGTTCAAATTATATTGCACAAGAGATGGGAGTAGTGGAATCTTTTTTATATTGTTGTTTTGGCATTATTACTGTTTTAAGTTAGAATATTAAGATGATGACTTGGTTTTGGTGTAAGATTTTGTTCTTATTCCTCCCCAGTATTTGCTGCCTGCAATTGTTCATATTAACCACCAGCCATATTTGGAAAGGGGAGATGGCCCAATTGTAAGTGTGTTTCATTCTCTTTATAATTTTTCAGAATAACTACAGCCAAATGATTACGGTATTTACTGCTTTACTCATACTCTGATATTTTTAAGCCCACCTACCCTTTATATCTGCTCAAGGTAGAGTGGATCCTTGACTTACAAACTCAGTTCGTTCCCAAGGGCTGGTTGTAACTCACATTGGTCAGTTGAAGGTAGACATTGGCCTAGGACTTCTCAACCCCACACAGGAAAAGATGTGCTAATGTTTCTTCTGGGACTCTTTTCAGGGTTAAATCGATGTATGAGACCATCTGGACGCACAAGTGGCTGACATTTGGGTTATAATTTGGGACTTTGTTCATAAGTTAAAACTAAAATTTCAGTTGTAACCCAAGTTGTTCATATGTCAGGCTGGTCATAACTTGAGGGTCCGCTGTATAATGTCATTTTGGGATTAAATGACTTGTCCAGTCAATCAGATGGTTATCTTGGATTTGAACCATCTTTACGCTTATGCACTAATGTTGTAGCACATACTGCATTCATTTGTGGACGGGGCGGTGGGCAGGATCTCACTATGCAGTTTAACTCACTGCGTAGTGCACGTTGGCCTTGAACTCACAGCTATCCTTCTCAGACTTGGGAGTGCTACAGGCGTGCACCACCACACCCAGCACCTTTATTACTTTGAGACAGGGCCTCACGAACTTGCCATCCTCCAGCCTCAGCCCCAGCCCCAGAGGACTAGGATTATAAGTTTATAGTGCCACACGCAGCTTGCTCTGCCATTTCTTTTGTTTGTGCTGGTACTTAAACCATGGTTTTGTTGCAGGAGTATTTTAAAGCCACTTGTGCATTTTTGTGAGAGTTGTGTAGTTAACAGTAGGTCAGTAATGGCGAACCTTTTAGAACCTTCAGTGATAACAAATAGGCTACTGTTTCATGTGTGCCCTAGGTTTGCCATCACTGCACTAGGTAATACAGTCTAGAAATCAGCTTAACGTGGTCCGTTTAAACTAAAAGTCAAGGGTTGAGGGCAGTAACATGCATATACTAAATAGCAAATTGTCATCAATTTTTACCCATACCCTAGTGTAGTAGTGCCTCCTCTTAAGCCTCCTGACCTCCAAAACCCCCACCCTGTCACATACCTTGAAAAGTATTAGTAAGGGAAGAGTTAATTACCTTTTGTACTTTGATGTTTCTGGGGTTTGTTTGTTTTAACTTGAGCTGGGTATCTCAAGTGGTTTTTTTGTCTGTTTTTCACGTTTTCTTGTTTTAGTGTCTCGTACTAGCTCCTACCAGAGAGCTTGCTCAGCAAGTACAGCAAGTGGCTGATGACTATGGCAAGTGTTCAAGATTGAAGAGTACTTGCATTTATGGAGGTGCCCCTAAAGGCCCCCAGATTCGAGACTTGGAAAGAGGTAATTTGATAAAAACCATGAATAAGAATGGTTTATTTTACAGCAATTTGTGTATGAAATTGAGAAAGCAATAGGTTCTTGTGGGGGGAAATTGGTATTACAGAAGATTAGAAATTTTCAGATATGGTGGTTAGCTAGTTTGGGAGAGTATGTTCACCTTAGCTGGAGACTAAGATTGATGGATGTAAGATTGATGGTTGTGGTCGAGTTTTCTTTACATTATGTTTTTGCAGCCACTGCGCTACAGCATGTGTGCAAGATCACCAGACCTGGTGTTGCTGGTTACTGCTCAAGTTTAGATAGTGGATAAAGAAAGAATTCCTAATGAGCCAGATCTTTATTTTGCTGTACAGGTGTTGAGATCTGCATAGCTACTCCTGGACGCCTGATAGATTTCCTGGAGTCAGGAAAGACAAACCTTCGCCGCTGTACTTACCTTGTTCTGGATGAAGCTGATAGAATGCTTGATATGGGCTTTGAACCTCAGATCCGTAAAATTGTTGACCAAATCAGGGTGTGTGCAGTGTATACTTCATGCTTTTATACCTTTTGACTGTTAATACATACTTCCTTAGCCTAAAAGACTCCTTTTCTGTAGCCCGACAGACAAACATTGATGTGGAGTGCAACCTGGCCAAAAGAAGTAAGACAGCTTGCAGAGGATTTCTTGCGTGATTATACTCAGATCAACGTAGGCAATCTGGAATTGAGTGCCAACCACAACATCCTTCAGATTGTGGATGTCTGCATGGAAAGTGAAAAAGACCACAAGTATGAAAGAGATTTCACTCTGTTATTATAATACTGATAAATTGTTCTCAATAATGCTCCAGAATTAGAGTATTAGAGAAGTATTTCTTGAGGCCTAAAAAAATTTCTCAGGAATAGATTATAAGTAGTGTAGCTTTAGGGAATTAATATTAAAGTGGTGTACTTAACATATGGGAGATCTTTCTGTATGATGACTGTATTGTTGATCTTCTTAAGATTGATCCAACTGATGGAGGAAATAATGGCTGAAAAGGAAAATAAGACCATAATATTTGTGGAGACAAAGAGACGCTGTGATGACCTCACTCGAAGGATGCGCAGAGATGGGTGAGTATAGCACTAGAATAAATTGGACTGGGGTTTTATAGTTAACAGTGATTTCTAATTTGATGTTACACAGTCTGTATGGAATTGTAATCTTGACATAGTGTTTTAATACTGCCTAAAATGTAACCCAGCCCTTTCAGTTTGTATTTTTGAGACAGGGTCTTGCTAAGTTTGTCCAGGCTTGGCTCAAACTTCATTTGATTCTCTGGGCTTCCACCTCCCAGAGTGCTGGAGTTACAGACATGTACCAGTATGCTTCCCCCACCCTTTACCAGGGATCCAGCTCAGGATTTAGCACTGAGCTAAGACCCGGCATGCACGCGTGCCTGTCTTTTAAGTGAATACTGTTGTCTGTTCATGTACCCTAACCTTAACAAAACATTGTAATAACATTCTCTTAAGAAACTAAATTTTCCTCTTTAAATTTATAAAATTTCTAAAACGTTTGTCATTTTCTTCTGATAGTTGGCCAGCTATGTGTATCCATGGAGATAAGAGTCAACCAGAAAGAGATTGGGTACTTAATGGTAAGTTCAAAGCTAAGCATTTTTGATGGAATTTTGCCTTAATCTGTAAAAGCCAGATAGTAAATATTGTGGTTTTGTAGACTTAATGTAGTCTCTCGTCCATGTAAAAGTCGTGACCTGGGTGAGTTCAAGCAAAGATTTATTTGCAAAATAAGTATTACACTGGATTTATGGTGTTATGCTCTAGTTAACTGAATGCTGAGACTTTTGACATGTCTCCAGGGTCCTTTAAAGGTTCTTAATACTTTCATACAATTTAAAAATCATCCTTCTTTTGGGTTGGGCCTTCTTTTGGGCTGGGCCTCCTTTTTAGCTCAGTGGTTCTGCTGCCTGCCTTGCTAAGCGCAAGATTCCAAGTTCCATCCCAGGTACCCCCCCCCATCATCTTTCTTTTATTTTTAGTAAGTTCTTCCCTTTTATCCTTTGGGGAAAGTTTGGTAGTTAAAATGTTTAAAAGAAACATGTTCCTTAGTCATAATTTTTCACTCCCCTTGTTTTTCACACCTACTCTGTTACGAGAAGGCCTATTGAGTAAAGTGGAAGAGGCCATATTTAGAAATAATACACAAGCCTTTTGGGGAGAATTGTTCTTTCATTCCACATCTTAATGCTGTTACTAAGCTTTGTGTTGATTGTATATTAAATTTGACTTGGCTTTTTCTTTTCTTTCTTCAGAGTTCCGCTCTGGAAAGGCTCCTATCCTCATTGCCACGGATGTAGCCTCCCGTGGGCTAGGTTTGTATAGATAGGTGTCTCTGTCAATGTTTATGTATCTTTTGGTTTAAAGATTTGTTTGTCATTTGAAATTTAGAGTTATATATATATGTATATATCTATTCAGTAAAAAAGAGGAGGATATATAGTGGGTTTTTTGTCTCCTCCCCCGCAGTTTTTTTAATCCTTGGTTTTTGGGGGGTTTTGTTTTGTTCTCCCCCTTTTATTTTCAAAGTCTCTTCCTGCTCCTAACAAACAGGCTTTGGTCTGCAGCAAGGCCTAGGCATGGCTGTTTAGTTAGAGGGAGAAGAGACACTCATTTGAACATTCAGTTTAATTTTTTTCTGGTTAAATCTTATTTTCTGGCTGGATAGGAGGAGCCTGATTGAACCTAGCTATCATGAGCTAGTTTCTTCTGGTTATTTTTTTTCTGTATCATTTTATCTGTTATATGTAGAGAGGCCAGATTCCATGAATTCTTATTAAATGATATTTAATAAGTCCGTAATACTTCATTCAATTAAATCTGTATTGCCCAGTGTTACTTGCTGAAGTAAATTAATGATGGATTCTTAGTTTCCCCTTCTTCCCCCCCATACCTGTATCTGAAATGTGCTAATTCTGAGAGCTTAATCAGAAGATATTCTGGAGGTTCTGACCCATTAATGATTAATACCATGGTACTTTAGCCCAACATTCTGAGCTAAACAGGTCTGACTCAGAACTTTTATATTTAAAAAGAGATGATTTGTGTCACTAGGAAATCTTCAAACTATTGACAGTAATTTCTTGTCCAGAAAGGTGAGAATCATCATATTCCCATATACCAGTTAAAGAAAACAAGTATTTAGACTGGACTAAAAAGTGGTGGAGCCTTTTTTATCCATTGGACTTACCATTCCCTCCTTCAGAGGTGGTGACCTGCAGCCATGACAGAGAGTTGTCTCTGCCCTCTGAGGTCATGTCTGGAGCTGTGCCGTTAGAACTTGGGCCTGTTGGGAGAGGAGGTGGAGGCCTGAAAGCAGTTCACGCAAAAGCTTTCAGTGATGGTGGTTTTTAAACAGGCTTGCTATGTGCTGGTAGCTTCTTTGTGCATCTTGCCTAGACAATTAAAAATATTTGCTCCATGTTCCCCTACATTTCTAAACCATATCAATTGGCTGCCATTAGAATAACTTAGACTCTTCATCCTGCCCCCTCTCGTCCAAGTGAGGGGAGAGGGAAGGTACCTGAGTCTGTTTCTTGTTACTCAACATCAGTGTTTACTTTGGGCCCCTTTATTTGCTGCCTTATAAAAATCAAAGGAGGGAGAAAACCCACCAAAATGGCAGAATTCTGACCAAGGTCCTACAAGATCCTGGAAAGTGAAGGCTTCTACCTCATAGACAGGGGTGCAATTTTCAGCTGAGTCACCAGGCCTTTTTTCCCTTCCTGTCAAGCGATGGTCTCTTAAATGTTCCCTTCAGGTAAGTTCTTTGATTCCCCTAATTTTATAATAGTCATCCTCAGGCGACCACCATGCCCTTTCCACTGGGATATTTTTAATTTCTCCTTTTTTGTTTAAGCTACACACTGTTAAACTAAAAGTATTGAATTTAATTTGTTTTGTTTTTTAACAGAAGCTTTGCTATCAGCTGCAGATCACCCAATAAATGGCCGAGGCAAATCTACATTGGCCCGAAGCAGCTCTAGATGAGCCTGTTTGGCTAGTCTGAGACCCTCCCAATTAGTGATTGGAGATTCAGGCCATGTTGTAGGGCTTCCAGACCAAAGGTTCTTATTGCTGGCCAGAACATTCACTTTTCTATTTCTTACCTTGCTACAGCATCTTCTGTAAAGGCAGCAAGATAATATTGTGGCAGTGCATAAATAACAGCAGGGCAGGCTTGCCTGGAGAAAACCAAAGTCTGCTCCTGCCCTCACCTGCCCTCGGCCAGCCATGTGCACGCACAGGACACCTTTCTAGTGTGAAGAATTTGCACCATGTCCACCCCTTTGAGCCCCGTCAGAAGTGCCCCCAAGCATTAGTATCTGAACTGTTGACTGCAGCCCCAGTGCCTTCTGCTAGGAATTACTGTGCATCCAGTGCAGTAGTTCACCTTGCTTTGCTTCCCACGGTCACATTCCGTGAGAATGACTTGGAAGCGTTATCCTAGCTCAGAAGAGAACGATCATGGAATATAATTCCCTGTACTCCTAACCCACCCTTACATACTTGCTGGCCTTGTAGTTCTTTTTTCTTTGTAGCATCAACGACCCTAGCCTGAGACTCACGCTGCCCCCTGTGATAAGTGCCTTCTCGTCTTTCTGGTGTGATTCAGGACTTTAGGGGTCAGTAACGACCGAGGAGCCTTTATTGTAATAAGAAACAGACATAATGCCCTTTCTTCACAAGCCCTACAACAACGGCTGATTTTTTTTTTTTTTTTTTTAATCATCTCCCCTTTCCCCTGAAATTATTCCAATCTGGGCAATAGATGCAGTCTGACCCTTTGGATATAACGTACATTTTTTTATTAATCATTTTTTTCTACAATCACCCCAATTACCTTGGGGGAGGCGTTGGAGGACCTGAAATTTTTACCCGAACCCAGGTTCTCCGGCGCTTGGCAACCAAATGGGGCTACAGAGAAGCATCTAAGCCAGTTCACAGAGCGAGCGTGTGTGGGGACTTCTCACTGCCACGGACCCTTGATGCATGCTCCCCGCGCTCCAGTGGTCCCGTGTCAGAAGGCGGAGTTTTCGAAAGGAGGCCGCCAAAAATAAAAGGCAAAGAGACGGGATCGGCTGCAGCGGTTTCCCAAAGGAGGAGGGAGTGTGCATCGGTCTGGTAACAAACAGAGAATGTTTTTTAATTACTTATATCACAAAAATCTGTGTTTTATCTAGGATATTTTCTGAATATTCTTTGTAAAATGCAGATTTTTTTTCCACAAAACATTAGGATTCTGTTTATTAAACTTGTTTGTTTTAAGTAGGTAAAAAGAAAAGTTACATTTAGCTGAAAGCATTACACTAACATTTACATGATTTAAGTATTAGGTTATTCAGCCCAATTCCCAGCAGTGGACAGAATATCAAACTTGTGTCTCAAGGTTTCATGGTTTTCCCACGTTCTTTGGCTATTAATTTCCCAGGTCACAGAGATTGTCTTGATCATTGAAACAAGTGCAAAGTCTGAAATAACCTTGAGTTGAGCAAAATTTCGTTTGATAGAAGCTGGGCTTGGTAGTATAGTGAAATTTTAGTGTAATGTGTTCTTTGGTAATTGAAAAGGGAGAATTAATGTGGATATTTCTGCAAAGGAAAATAGGTGTGTGCTTTGACCAGGTTTTTCTTAATATAAGAGCAAAGAAATTAAATGTTAAGTCTCCTTGAAAATATAGTAATAAAGTATATGAAGCTTCTTTTTTCATTTTGCTCTGTGACTGGTTTAAAGGTAAGTTTGTATGTTTTTGGTAGATTTTGCCAGGCTTCTCCCAACAGAGTAGAAGTGATTTAGCCCTGTAACTTAGTGGATACTGCTTTTCTTCTGCATCCCAGTTTTGAAAAGGTGGCACTGGAATTTGCCAATCTGAAGGCAAATCTTCGCACAACTCCTGTGTATATATTGGTTAAATACAGAAGAGGCAGGAGTTCAGATGGTTGGGTGAGATTCCCTTAGGATTTTACAACCAGTAAAGATGCAATGTCCCATACATATCTCAAGAAACACTAATCCTCTTTTACTCTGTTGGGATGAGTCTTTTTTGTTCCTTCTCAGAGTGGTTACTAACTTCATCTTCTCTCCTCTTGCTGTCATCTGCATTCGTGCTTCCCACCTGTTGTTGGCATGTCCTTTACCTTCTCTTTCCTTGCCACATCAACCTACACACTGATTCATCACTGACTTGAAGATGTGGAAGATGTCAAGTTTGTCATCAACTATGATTATCCAAACAGCTCAGAGGATTACGTTCACCGTATTGGCCGAACAGCCCGAAGCACCAACAAGGGCACCGCTTATACCTTCTTCACCCCAGGGAACCTAAAGCAGGCCAGAGAGCTGATAAAAGTGCTCGAAGAGGCCAATCAGGCTATCAATCCAAAACTGATGCAGCTGGTGGACCACAGAGGAGGCGGCGGAGGAGGGGGTAAGGGTAAGTCCTGGAGTTTTCCAGGTACTGCCAAGGTATCTTTTTTTGTATATATTGTACCTTGTTTTTTAATCATGTGAAGGCTTTGAGTATGTTGCTTAATAACAAAGGCGAGTACTTTGTAGTTTTTATGACTTGTAAGGGAAAGCAATTTCCTGCTTCTATACCACACTGCTTCTGAACATTATGATCTAAAAATGATCTTTGAATTTTGAAGTATATGGGGTGTGCCCAAAATTAAGCTAGCCTATAGTTGCTTTATATGTTCAGAATATTTAGTATATTAGGTTTTTGGTTTTCCATATGAATAGATCCTTGATTGTATACTGTTTTAGTAGAAACTGAGGCATTACAGTTGTTTGTACACAGTTAGAAAATATACTGGGATCTGGATTTCCTAATTCCCAGTTTAGTATAGTATGGTGAATTGTGTTTCTAGATAATTCTCAGGAAAAAGGCTGTCTGGGTGTGGTACAATCCAGAATCTCAGGAGGCAGGGGCAGGAGAATAACAAGTTTGAGGCCAGCCTTAATTCTGTTGACCCTATGTTAAGAAATAAAAAGGGCTAGGGATATAGCTCAGTGGTAGAGCACTTGCATAGCATGACAAAGCCCTGGGCTCAGCCCCTAGTACCACAAAAAAGGAAAGGGCCTAAAAGGGCAAAACGTTGGGTGAAGTACTGACTTACAGTAGCTATAGACTGGCTGAAGATGAAAGAGGTAGAGGGAATGTTGTGGAATATGTCCGCCCCTTTCAAGTTTCTGAAGTTTGGTTATGTTTGGCTTGGGTACCTGACATTAAAAATGCCTCACGTCCTTCCATCAGGAGGTCGCTCTCGATACCGGACCACTTCTTCAGCCAACAATCCCAATCTGATGTATCAGGATGAGTGTGATCGGAGGCTTCGAGGAGTCAAGGATGGAGGCCGGAGAGACTCTACAAGCTATCGGGATCGTAGTGAGACCGATAGAGCCAGTTACGCTAATGGCAGTGGCTATGGAAGTCCAAATTCTGCCTTTGGAGCACAAGCAGGCCAATACACCTATGGTCAAGGCACCTATGGGGCAGCTGCTTATGGCACCAGTGGCTATACAGCCCAGGAGTATGGTGCTGGCACTTATGGAGCTAGCACCACCACCTCAACTGGGAGAAGTTCACAGAGCTCTAGCCAGCAGTTTAGTGGGATAGGCCGGTCTGGGCAGCAGCCACAGCCACTGATGTCACAACAGTTTGCACAGCCTCCGGGAGCTACCAATATGATAGGTTACATGGGGCAGACGGCCTACCAGTATCCCCCACCTCCCCCTCCTCCTCCACCTTCGCGCAAATGAGGCCACTTGAGATGGGGCAACTTGTGCAGACTTACATATAAAGGAACGCTGTCTTTCCCCTTTTTTTTCTTCTTCCCCTTTTCTTTCTTTTTTTAGTTTTTTTTTTTTTTTTTTTTTTTTTTTAATTTTTTTTTTCCCCCTTTTTTTTTTTTTTTTTTTTTTTTTTTTTTTTTTTTTTTTTTTTCCTCCCAACCATTGTGATTTGCCCTTTTGTGCAGATTAGTTAGAATTCACTGCCAGGTTTCTTCTGCCTGCCAAAAAGGTCCAGTCTGTAATAACAGATTTTGTAAAAAAAAAATATATATATATATAACTGACTGGAAGAGATTTTCTTCCCCCAACTTTGCATGTTGAGGATATTTGAGCTATCTTTCATCTTAAAAGAAAAAGTAAGGTATTGGACCCTCTCTTGGGAGCCAGTTTCTTCTTGTCCTGAGTTGGGGAGGGAAGGGGGGAGGGCTGAACTGTTCTGCAGAAGAGAACGCCATCTGTGCCGTAAATGTTCTCATCCCTGAGTTAGAAAACCAAGAGGAGTTCTGCTGCACATTGCCCATAATGGTTTTTAACATCTCTCAAGTTGGGTCTGGTTCCTTGGTTTTTAAGACAGTGCTTTGCCATTGTCATTTTGGCCAATGATGGCTTACGTACATTTGAAAGTTAAAAATTTCCTAATTGGTTTTGTATCCCTTACACTCTGCTTTCCCTCTCTTCCCTCCCAGTTACTTGAAGAATAGCCAGTTTAGTGTCCATTTAGAAATTGAATTGCTGAGTCTACGAGTATCTTTTAAATGAACTGCAAGCATTTCTCACACTGGTTAATTTGTAGCATCTCGGCATCTGGTTGGAAGCTACCTAATTTTCTTCCCAATATAACCAGGGACCATCTGTAAAATTCATTTTCTAGCCAGACAGCTGCTGTGAGCAAACGAACATAAATGCTCACTGTAAATTTACTTTATTAAACAGTTGAGTCTGCATTCACCTGCAATGTAAGAAGCACCTTTATTTATAGTGTACTCAAAATGGGTAGATTTTTTTTAAGCTCAGTATTTTGTAGAGGTGTAGAGTAAGCAGCTCTTTGTCAGCCTCTCTACCCTTTTGGCCAAATTTTCTTGAGCAAAGACTAAAGCCCTCTAGTCTCTCTTGTTCTCTGCATACTTATGCACTCAGCTCTTCACAGGTAGGTAGTACTTAGGAAATGGTCTGGAGGACTAGAACCTAATTTATTTTTTCCTCCAAATGAAGGTAGGTGAATTCATCCCACTGCCTTGTGGAGACTTCATAGCATGTGGACCTGGAAAGGATTTTCTGCTCTTGGTTCACCATAAACAGGGCAGGGCAGGGCAGTCAGTCCCAGAATCCCTTTTGAGATCCAGTGTGATGGGACTGTTAGTTTTTGCTCTGGTACTGGTATTGCAGTTAAAGGGGGATGGCTCCACTGTGTTCTTTGGCGGTGGCCTGAGAGTGCTTGCTGGTTTGTAAGGTCTAAATATTGAAATACTTCAGGTTTGTTTTTGTTTTCCCTTTAAAATCCTTCAGGGAGAGAGAAGGGATGGTTTCTGAGGGGTTCTGACAGTATGGTTCAGTGTGCAACATACAGGTAGGTCATCAGCATAAGCTGAAATGTATGCATGTTAAACCTTTGACATCCTTTTTTGTTTTTCACTTCCTTCCTTTCCTTTTCTCCCATCTTGAAGTTGAGGCCAAGGGATGATGGCAAGAATAGATGAAATGTGCAAAACTGCTCTGAGCTTTCAAATTTCAAAAAGTGCTATTGCTGCCCCCGCTCCCCACCCACCCCAAAAAAAAAGATGTCTTAGGTACTGACCAATCTGTTGTGGACATTTGTTTCTACCCGTAATTTCTGATATATTTTTTCATTAAACCTAGAGATTCTACCATAGGAGATGTCCTGCTCTTATTATTGCAGCTCCTACAAATATCCGTTTCAGGGCAAGGTCTTGGTACGCAAGCAGCATCTGGGGTACTTGCTTCCCCTTTCCTTCAGCGACATTGTAATTATCAAAACAGCAAATTCTAAATGTCAGCATTCTTTTGTGATTTGAACACACCTGAAAGCTAGCAAAATTTTTCCTATTAACTCTTAACTTTCACCTCCTTGCCTGTCACAATTCAGGTTCTGCTCTTGCCTCAAAACATGAGCAGATAATTTGATGCATTCATGGTTGAAATTTAGCCGAGGGTTTCAGTATTAAGCTATGGGCTGCTGCTCCCCAGTCCCTCCCTTGCAATTCATTGTGCAGACGTCTTTCATCGAAAGGTTGGTGGCTTTTGCTTGGGATCAGTGTGTTCCACTATGTCCTTGCTGGTCTCTGAACACATTCCTGTTGCATTAAGACTTGAAAGATTTGTAGATTGTGTGATGTTCAGGCACAGGATGCTAAGAGCTATGTTACTATTCTTAGTTTGTAAATTGTCCTTTTGATACCATCTTGTTTTCTTTTGTAGGTATAAATAAAAACACTTGACAATAAGGTGTGAACTTTTTTATTTCTCAAAACTTTTGCTTCAAGATAAGAGTATTGGACAGACTAATCACCTTATTAGCACCTAAAACTGAAAGGAAGTGGGGATGGTTGGTTTTAGTGCAAGCATTTAACAGGGCAGGATACCTGGTAGGTAAATGGTTGGTATCTTCAGCTCATCAGTAAAATGTTGATAATGGCAACTGTGCCATCTTAAGCTGGCTTCTGGGAAAAAGGTACCAAGTACAGGGCTCACTTGAGCCATAGTAAAGGACTCAAGCCAGTATTAAAGGTGAGGCACAATTGTATCATTTCCAGCCAAAGATAGTAAACTTGGTTTTCTTGTGGCTTGAAAGCAGTGCAGAAGTAAACCATTTGATTCTTGGTGGCTAACACTTTCATATCCCAACTACCTCAATTTGGTCTAACTAAAATTTGTGAAAATTAGTATGAAAACTGGGCCCTAATGTTCCAGCTGATCTTCATTTGGGGGCATTCTATACAGGGGCATCTTTGTAGTTTGGGCCTGTTTGGCATGAGTTTTGTAGCAGGGCTTTAAAGGAGCAATGGTTTATTGTTCCATTGATGGAGTTAGGCACCCTAAGGTTTCTCCTTCCAGCTGATGTTCTGACTTGTGCAGTGCCCTGCTTTTCATCACCTCCGTATTGAGGATTGTAAGGGAAGTCCTGGTGAGGTCTTCTAGGTGGAATGACAAGTTCTTTGCTGAAATCCATACCACACATTTTTATGTCTTGATCATGTGATCTCAAGTCATGAGTAAGTTCACCAAAAAATCAAAATGGTTTCTTCACTGACCTTGGTAAGGTATGGGCCATTTTTGAAGGCCCTCAAATTGGCATTGGAAGACTTAACTTCTTTCCTTTAAGGACTGGAAGAAAGTGAAGATGAAATTAGAATTAACCATATCGATCAAAAGACCTCTTTCTTTGTGCTAGTCTCAGTATTGCTTAACATGCAGCTTACAGTGTCAAGAATATTAAAGCCAAGGGAAAAAAGGTCTTAGGTTAACCAGACTGTAAAGTTGGCAGTTGGCCTCAGTTCCTTTATTCCATGCTGGATATCACAGTCCACTAGTCCCTCAGCTTGGTTCCCATGACCTTTCCTCTTCTCTGACTTAATAGTTGAAGCTGTCCCACAAGCTAGTCTCCCTGTTTTGGCTCCCTTTTTATAGCTGCAAAAGCTGGGGGGGGTGGTCTTTTAATGAGCCCTCTAGTCTGTACCCTTGGCAAAGTATAGATCCCTTTTATCTAGGCCCTGTGTGCTGGCTTAGGTAACTAGGTTTGTGGGTTTGACCCCACCAACCTTTGTTCCTCAGTCACACCAAACTGGTTTCTAATGAATGTTTTTGTTTTCCCAATACATTTTTTCTTTTTTTTAAATGGCATCTTTCCTCATTAATGTAAATACCACAAAGGACAGAGTTGTGGCACTGTTGCTATTCTCATATTTATAAAAGAAATGAACAGGCCACTGCTGTCCTGCTAGCACCTACCTTTGGTTACATACAAGTAGAAGAAGTCACAGTAGAAGATAGTTTGCACTACCCCAGACACTACAGCGATCTGGTCATAGAAGTTCTCAGTCTGGTACCGCCTGATCCAGTTGGCCAGGTAGAGTGCCCTGTACAGCCCTAGGAAGAACAGGTAGTGTGTGGTGATGGTCTCGGCCTCTCCAGTCTTGCTGATCATGAAGAGCTGGGGCAGGATGGCCACTGATTCCAGGTAGATGGAGAAGGTCCAGAGGATCTGAGGCAAAGCAAAGTCACAGGAGCTTGAGCAAGGCCAAGAAGGCCTTGTCTACTGGAACCCAAAATACTAGACATGATTATAGAGACCACACAAATGAGCAAAAGTGATAAAATTCTTGTGTTTTGGCAGCGGTGGGAGGGGGGAGTTGCTGAGGAGGCAACCCCAGGATCTTGTATATCCAGCAAGTGCTTGACTACTGAACACCTCAAACTATGGGGTTTTAATGTTTTAATTTGGTTTTTGTGGCCCTGGGGATTGAACCCAGGCCTCATGCATGCTAGGGAACCACTGTTCTAGTAAGCTACGCTCCCAGCTCCAAATGTATTTTGTTAGAATACTGTTAATTTCTATGCAAATACAAACTGGATTTTTTTTCTTAGAGATGCATATATAGTACATACTGCTTGTTTCAGAACACAGCATTATGTTTCTATGGAACAGTTTTTTAAAGGTTGCAGTTCTGTTGAATAATCTTGCATAATTGAAGGCAGTTTCTCAAAATACTGTCCATAAGTAGCAGCAGGATCTCCAGGAATGCTCGTTGCCCACATTTTTGCAGGCCACAACTCTGGCCTACCTGCTGAATTATGATCTCAGCCTGGACTGTGCTCTAAAGTCTATTAATATGCTAGAGTAAGGTCTTCCATGCCAGAGGACTGGTGTGTGTGGCTTTTGGACACCTTGCCTAGTAGACATGTGCAGCAGCAGTCACGGTTGTAACACATAGGCCCAGACTCCGTTGTGGGCCAGAGGGAGGGATGCTGGGAGACCCAGCCGCCCTCAGATCAGAACTCACTTCCAGTGGCGTGAAACTGTAATTCTCCAGGAAGGAAAGGCCGATGACTGGGATCAGAAGAAACTCCAAGCGGAATGTGTCATTCTCAATGTCAAACGTTTTACGAAACTTCCCGTAGATCATGTACACCGTGACATAGGCACAGAGAAGAAAAACCACCTAAAAAGGAAGAGATTTGGGAATTGAAGTTATTTGCCAGGCTTTGAAGCCTAACAAACCCACAGGCCATTACCCTGCTATCATACCCAAGTAAAGTATTCTGCAGTCCCTCTTGGGCCCTTGGACAACAGTTCTGACTTACACTTGTGAAGTAACTGCACACTTCTAACAGGGACTGACATTGTTCCTGGAGTCAGTGGTACCCTAGCCGCCTCCATCTTCAGAACATTGGAGAAAAAATAGAACCAGCGGGGTATGGTGGTGCACGCCTGTAATCCTATCATTCTAGAAGCTGAGGCAAGAGGATCACACATTCAAGCCTATTCTGTACTACAGAGAGAGACCCTGACTCAAAACACCAAAAATGAAACAAGATCTGTTTTACTCGGGGTTTAGCAGTGGCAGTCTAGGCTCCAAACCCCTCCCCCAGCTCCCTGGATGTTCATGAATGGCTTGTAAGCATCCTTCACAAGGGTGAATTCCGCATTGCTTGTCTATGGTTCCTTCAGAAAAGCTCTATGCAGTAGCTGTCCCCCCGTGGGTAGTGGTTCCATTTAGCTATGGACTCTACTCTTCCAGACCAGTGGTCCCCAACAAGATGCACCAAAATCACACAGATGGCTGCCCTCACGGTGGCTTGGTGGGCCCCCCCACCACCACCTCTTGAAGTCTCACCTTCATTACTGTATTGTAGATGGAAATGAAGTTGGTGAAGAGGTCCAGGTACCTGGTGGTGAAGACAAGAGCGAAAAGGATCTGGCTCTTCCCAGAGATGCCTGTGTCAGAGAGGACAGGAACCAGTGAGAAGAGAGACAGCCCCAGGCCACCTGCCCACCAGACTGCAGAGCCTGGAGCCAGGGCAGCCAGGAGCCACCCTGTCTCATCAGGAGGATCAAGCAACTCAGCTCTTCCTTCAGCTCCCTGGAGTCCAGCTCCTCTCGTTCAGCTGAAATCTGTCTCCCAAATAAGGACACAGACACCAAGTTCTCAGTACCTCTCCATGTGCCCACCAAAGTTGTTGCTCTGGGGAGTGTTGGCAGTGTGACCAGGCTTGGCAGGGTTATTGAGGCTTTTCTGCACTCCACCTCCAGGGTCCACGGACAACCCCCAGAGCTGTGTCCCTCCCAGATTAACAGACACTGACTCCACAGTGTGGACTCACCAGTGAGATGGAAACCAGCAGAGGAAGGCACTGGCCAGGAGCCCATTCCATTTAACTTTCCAAACTGCTAAGATTTTAAAAGCCTATTTCTTGGGCTGGGGACTTAGTTCAGCAGCACTGCAGCTACCTGGCAAGTGAAACATCCTGAGTTTGATCCCTGGTACCAAGGAAAAAAGGCCTATTTCTTAGTTATAAAAGTTATGCCTAGTTTTACTCTTCATAAAACAAAATTAAGTCTGAGAGTATAACTCAGTAGAGCTCCTACCTCACATGTACAAGTCCCTGGATTTCATTCCCAGTACCGCAAAAAAAAAAAAAAAAAAAAAAAATATAAAAAGATTTTTAAAAGCCTCTCTGCATCTTTCGGATCACTGTGGACACATACCTCATGACACGTGCATAGGCAGCATGAGTGTGTTGAGTTCACTCTGCCTTTCCTTGGCTCCTTTATCCTCTCTTTTTTTTCCATTTATTATCAAAGAACTTTAGGTTTCAAACGTCCACAGAGAGGGAAACCTCATTTCCCCTAAACTTCCTCCTCCTCCCTTCCTCAAAAATGCCCCCCACTTCATCCTCAAGTCAGCAAACTCAGGGCCACCCTTGAGTCTCCCTCCTCTTTCCTCCTCATACCCATTCAGTCACCAGGCCCCAATAACCCCCACATTTCTTGGCTCTTCTCCCTGACTCCAGTGGCCTCAGATGGCCAGCTACCCTCCCGTAACGACCCACAGCCTGGTCTGCCCAGATCCTTTAATGCTTGTTCACCTGCCCCCGACTTCCACTCTCCATCTAGCAATCCAAGGGTTTTTTTGTTTGTGGAGACAGGGTCTCACTAGCCCAGCCTGGCCTCAAATGCGCGGCCATCCTGCCTCAGCCTCCTGAGTGCCCAGATTGCCAGGGCCCAGTGGAGGACTATTTTTAAAATAAAATTTTGCTTAAACCACTTAAGTGTCTCCCAAATGTACTTAAAGACTCAAAGTTTTATCCAGCCCGAAGGGCCTGCCTAGGCTGTTCTCTCCCTGGTTCCCCTTGGTCTTGCCCTCTTGCAGCTGTGGCTACAATTCCGGATTTCATTAAAAACGGGTGTCGCTGGGGATTTAGCTCAGTGGCACTGCGCCTGCCCCACAAGTGCAAGGTTGTGAGTTTGATACCTGGTTCCAAAAAATGAAAAAATAAAAACAGAGTGTCTCAGAGCATGGCGCTGACACATGAGATGACCTCCTCAGGGTCAGCTCCCCTGAGTCCCTGGATGGTGCCTCCTCTCACCCTCCCTGGCGAGGCAGTTTGGGGGTGAGGAGACATCTTTACTGACCAAAGAAGGATATGCTTTACCTATCACGTTGTGGACAGTGCTAGGTCCCACCCATGCCCCATGTAGGATGCCCTGTCCCAGAGGCAGCCTGCCCCTCCTACCGGGGCCTTCCATTTCCCTTGCCTCTTTGGGGGCCCTGCTGACCTTGAGCACAGCAGTTTTCCCCCTTTTGAAAACAGGTGATTCTCACTAAAGCCAGGCCCCATAACAGAGCAGAGAACCTGAGCCCGGGGCCAGCCCAGGTTCTGAGAAGCCCAGCAAGCACAAATGGGACCCACTGATCAAGACAGATAGGAAATTGAGGCCCAGGGTCCCAGAGGGAGTCAGTGATGGGTGAGAACAAAGCCCACATCTCCAGCCTCAGGGCTGGGCCAGCCGGGGTCCTGCCGGGCCCCATCCCTTGGGGCTGATGGGTCAGTGTGGACCTGTCTACACACACAGGCCCATCCAGGCCAGCATGCTGCCTGCCCTTTTTCTTTCCCTGCAGTGCTAACATCTCTGAAAAGCCAGTCATTCTGACTGTTCCTTGCTGGTGGTTCCCCTCCTGGGTCTGCTCTGCCTGGCAGGTGGTGCCCTGGTGGAGCTCTGTCCCAGGTGCCTAGCACGGTGCCAGGGAAAGTGGGCGGACAACAGCACCCCTCTAGTCTGTGCGTGGAACTCAGTGACCAGTTCCAGCCCATTGTCCCACCACCTGGGTCCGTGGCCCGCTTCCTCAGTCGGGAAGGGCAAAAGTCCAGAGCGACCGCCTCTAAAGCGATCTCACGTCTGCATCCACAACTGTTGCCACAGAGCCTCGCTTTGCAGGTGGCAGCTCCACCCTGCTCTCTCCATGTCCCTCCAGACTCCAGATAACCCTGCTCCAGGGCCGCTCCTGAGCTTCTTTCCCTCCCCCCCATGCTTTCCATGGCTCCCCAGTCCCAAATTCCAGGACCCTTCTCCCTCCAGACCCCTTCCTGGGACTGTGACTTCTCCGTGTCTGCATCTCCTTCTTGGACCTGCACACCCACACACACAACTCCAGGACGAGCACAGAGCTGCTCCTCCACGAAGCCTTCAGCTGCTCTCTGCCTCTCCAGCCCGCATGGAGCCTGGGATCACCCCTGTGCCAAGCACAGGCAGCACCTGGACCACACGAGGGGGACAAAGAAGGCTGCCGGAGGTTCAGGTTCTCTGTCAGCTCCAGCCCAGCCTCAGAACTTCTCCCAGCACCAAGGGAACCCTTACCAGACGCCCGACCTTTGCCTGGGGCAGCTCCATGCTCGCCTGGTCAGGCTGGTCCACTCATGCCAGATCACAGGCAGGGGAAGGAAGGGGGCCCAGACCCGGGAGAAGGCTGGGAGGGGCAGAGGGAGCGGAGGGAGAAGGAAAAGAAGACTCTGAGTTTGGGGACCACTTCCTGAGCGCACACCCTCACTTCCCCGGTTCAAGGGTGAGACTGGAGGAGCGGCAGAGGGTGGCCTTGAGAGGGCCGCGTCACCTCCTTCTTATCTCCATGGGCTCCTCGTCCAACTAGCCGTAGTAATGAGGCCAGCTCAGGGGAGGCCAAGCCCACCCTTCACCCCAGGCTCCGTGGCCCTCCTTCTGTGGCAGCGTACAACCTAATTGTGTCTTTTTTCTTTTTTGAAGGCTGAGCTCCTTTAGAGCCCAAGTCCCCACCCTACACGGCCATCCTACAACACCCCTCCTGCAAACAGGCCTGGCTAGGGCTGGCTGGCGGGGTTCCCCTCCCTTCCGGGGCACCCCTCACCCTTGCAGCACTTGGACCTCCAGATCTTCCCCAGGAGCAAGATCATGGCCAGGAGGTGGCTCAGGTCGCCGAGGATTCGAAACAAGTTCATGGCCCAGCCCGACGGTCCTGCGCGTGCCCAGCAGCGAACTTTCAGGGAACTTTCTGGCGTGTGGGGCGGCTGCCACGTCCCCGGCCACCACCTCGCAGCGCCCCAGGTCCGGCCCGCGCCTAGAAGTTGTTTTTAAATGGTATGCTTATGAAACTTGAAAGCAGATTGAGAAATGCCCCTGTGATTTTTATCTTATGCTCTTGGGTGGAAAGAAACCGCTTTTAGGTAGGAAAAATATGTTAAGAACTGTATTTCCTGTATTCACTGGGAGCCAGAGTCATCCGAGGGGACCCTGGGAGGCCACCGAATCCCAGTCTCTCAGTTCCCCTCTCTGTCCAGTCCCACTCCCCGTCCTTTTATTTTTCTGAGACAGAGTCCTATAACCCAGGCTCACCTCACATTCACAGGGATCCTCCTGCCTCAGCTTCCCAAGTCCTGGGATTACAGGCACTCTACTTTTGGACCCACCTGAAGACACTAGTGCCTGGGCGAATGGGGTCTGCATGCCAGTGCCACCCACTGTATTGTCCTGCCCTGCAGTCGGAACTCCTCATGGGGGTTCAGGGATTGAGTCCCTCCCTTACCAGCAAGTGAATTTGGATATCCAAGCTGGTGCTACTTGACCTCACAGGGTGGGTGACAGTAATGACAGCTTCACAGATGTAATCCGGCGAAGCCTCCTTGCTGTGGGCCTCAGTGTTCCCATCTGTAAAACGGAGCTGCTATCCAAGGCCTCCTCCTTCTCAGTGTGCTGAGATGTTAAACGGGGCTGCATAGATCAGGTGAGATCCCAGAGGGTTGAGCAAAGAAGGGTGAGCAGGAGTCCTCCCAGTGCTGTGTGGCCTGAGCGGGTCAGCCACCCTCTCTGGGCATCAGTCTCTGCAGGTGTTAAGAGTGGATCGGATGAGCCAAGGGCCCTCACTGTCCTCTCCTTGACCTCTATCACCCCTCCTTACTTGGGACTCTCCTTCCTCAAACAACTGGCCCTGTCCCATGCTCTCCACCTGCCACAGATGGCCAGAGGGGCCCTCTCATGTCAGTCCCTTCTGTGGCCCCCAAGCATGGCCAAGACTTCTGGGCCAGGCATCCTCAGAGGCTCCAAGTGTGGCCCAAAGACTCAGAGTTGCTGCAGGCTGCTAGGAGCAGGGCAGCCCCTCCCCAGACTTCCTGCCTGGGGTGACAGACTCTGCAATCTTCCTGCTCCTGGACAATTGGATTTGTGTGCACACGCAAGTGTGAGAGGTACCACCTAAGCGGTGGGACAAGGGAGGCACTGTGATTCCCATTTACACGCGGGAACAGGCACAGATCTGCTCAGGGTCGCAGAGCCATGGAGGAGCCCTGGAGCCTGGATCCCAGCACTGCCTGACTGCAGGGCTCAAGGAGTTGAATCATCCATCACACTGTGGGCTGTGCAGCAGGTGACAGCTCCCTGTCATGAGAGGTGGGTAGCAGGGGGTGGAGCCCATTTGTCAGACAGGGGTGCCAGGCCAGGGTCAGGCATGCCAGGCCAGTCGTCTCCTTCCCTTCCACAGGCGATGGAGCCAGAAAGGGGAGCTGCGGGGACCAGTGCACGCTGGAAGGAGGAGCCAGCACTGTCCCTAAGCGGTGGAACAGAATGGGCCCTCTGGTCCCTATTCCCCCCCACCCCGGGAAACTCTCCCTGGATGCCCCCAGAGGGTGCCCAGGGGAGGCGCTGGCTATTTAAATCTCTCAGGTGTGGCTGCTTTCTTTCTGCCCAACCAGCTGGCATCTCCCGCTTAGTGCCCACCTCCTCCCAAAGCCGGGGAAGAGCACGTGCATTTGCCATTTGGTGAAACATCTGCCCTCCTGGGAGGCAGCCCCAAGTGCCTGGGGAAGGGGACAGGCAAGGTTGGTGTCCTCCTCTTCCCTTCTGTCCCGTTTGGAGACCTCCAGGGACCTGGCCAAGGCCAGGAGACAGCCGGGGAGAGAATCAGGCTGGGTGAGCCTTGCTCCGGGCCTGTGCTGTAGGTAGAAGCTGCCACTGCCCTTGCTCAGGGCCTCGGCTTTCCTAGTTGTTCAGTGGGGATGCAGAGGACAGACAGCTGCTTGTTTCTGCTCCTTGCATCCCGTCTCCCAGCCCCTCTCCATGGAACTCATGCTCGGTCCTCATTTTACACAGGAGGAAACTGAGGCTCAAATTCCTTTCCCCACCACATCCAGCTCATTTCCCCAAAGCTCTAGCACTTGGTTCGAGTCCTCAGTTCTGACCCTTTCCTGCCCATCCTGTATCTCAGGTGGGGTATTTCTCAAAGCTTCCTGTGGAGAAAGGGGAAAATGTGTTTGTTTTCAGTGTTGGAGTTTGAATCCAGGGCCTTCATACTGCTCTATATCCCCAATCCCTCTTGTACTTCTTATTTTGAGACAGGTTCTCACTAGGTCACAAAATTGCCCAGGTCGGGCTTGAACTTGTGATCCTCCTGCCTCAGCCTCTCAGGAGCTGGGATTACAGGCCTGTGCCACCACACCAAGCTTCCTTACCCACGTACAACACTGCACTGTGGTTCACACCAGCCCTCCAGCCATCTGAGCCATCGTTCCCTCTCTGTCCCTTCTAAAAAGTGGATCTCAGAGAGCCCCTCACTTCTCTGAGCCTCAATTTCCTGACACCCAAAAATGAGCCTGTGTGCAATGGAGGGGAAGAGGGGCAAATATTTCATTCAGCTCCAAAGGCAAAGACCATTTTTCTTTTAATTAACAAAAAGCAAATTGTATGTTCATGGTCAGAGTGGAGTAGTTGATTAGAAAAAAAAATCTGCCTACATAATCTTATTTTTTTCCCCTGCTGGCCCTAGCTGCCACCACTGTGTTGACCATCCAGAGTGGAAGGAAATGGGTGTGGAGACTGAAAAATCACATCCTTGGGACACCCCACCTCTGATCCGCCTCTGAGGCAAGGTGAAGGAAGGAGGATCTATGATCCAGGCTCCTGGGACTCCCCAGCAGCCCCAGAGGCCACCATGGTGTCCCTGGGCCCAGGCAAGCACTTGCTCCTCGCTCCTAGGAGGAGGAACGAGCGCTTCCCAGAAGCCCTCAGGTCCAGGCTGGGAGCCTCGGAAGAGTCCGTTTCCTAAGCGGGCAGGGGTGTGCTCCACTCCAGGTGTTCGCGGAGCTCTTTCCTGTCTGTGTCTTTTGAGCGCTGTGAGCCACTGCGTTTACAGAGCTAGAAGTGGAGGTTCTCAAACCTTTCTCCCACTTTTAGTTCCAAGCGGGTCTGCTGAAGACCAGCTGCGTGCCATGTGCCTTGGGGCCGAACACGGATGCCCCTGGCTTAGGGCAGCCTCGGGTGGGGAGTTGTGGTTAAGGAAGAAGTCGGGCAAAGTGATGCGCTCAGTGAGCTTTGAAGGGTGAGTAGGAGCACGTCTCGAAGGCAAAATCTGGAAGAAGGAGGAGTTCTAAGGAGTAATAAATGATAGATAAGAGACGGGATACAGCCTGCTCTCCCAGAGCACTGTATTTGTACTGCTCTTTAAAAGAAACCGGGAGGAGAAGACCATAGAAAAATCACATCACGGCAAATTCAAGTCTGAAGCTCCACCGACAGGAGCTCCTCCAAGGTGAGATGATTAAATCTAATCGAATCACAGTTTTCACCTCGGTAACCCGGGCGTAAGCACTGCCCTGGTACGGTAGGGCCACAGTTGGCTAAGTACTGAGGCGTTTTTTTTGCAAGGGGTAAACTGAGTCCCAGAGAGGGGCTGTAAAAGCAAAGCTAGAAGAAAACACGGAAATCGCGCGTCCTTAAAAGGCGACCGCTCCCTCGCCGCTCCCTCCCCCAGGTGTAACAATTCTGGAAGCGTTCCGTGTCTTGATCCACACGGGTTTAAACATCTGCAAACATTCATGGAGTTGTACTACTGTTTGTAAGATATATCTTAATTAAAAGAAGGGGAAAAGACACAGTAACCTGGGCGACGCCGCCTCCCTGCCCTCAGTGCTGGCGACAGGTGTCTTTCGGAGACCCGGAGCGCCGCAGTCTCCGCCCCGCCCCGGGGCGCCAGGAGTCGTGTGCGGCGTCGGGGCCTGGCACGGTTCCCACGGCAACCGCAAGCCGCTTTCCGCCTCTCCAGAGTGACGAGGCGCGAGTCAAGACCCGGAGCCCGGCTCATGGAACCGGAGCCCCAAAGCGCGTCCGGGAGAGAGATCGCTTCTGGCCTGTGAGAGAGTCTGCCCTTGGTTTAGCGCTGGCGTTCCGAGGGCACACTGCAAACACCACTCCCCAGCCCTGACTGCGGCCACGAGCCGCTGCTTCACGCACCCCTGGGGACTCCTTCTCAGCTTTGCGGGTGGGGAGACGCGTTTGGCTCTTCCCCAACATCACCAGAGAAGCAGGGGTGAAGCCAGGCCCTGACCCCAGCGGCCTCCTTCCCACCCGGGCAGTGCACTAAGTGAAAGGCACGCGGGCCTGGGGCCCTGGGAACACCTTGGGTTCTGGTTCCGGCTCTGCTGGTAACATGCCTTGTGGTCTTGAAGTCCCTGCTCCTCTCTGGGTCTCACAGATAAGACACCATCACCAGTATCTCAGAGTAGCTGTCAGCAAGTGTGTAAAACCATCAACGAGTGTAAAAGCAGCCTGTAAACTGTAAAGTGCCTTGCACATGCCAAGGACCATCGCCGTTGCCGCTCTACTGCCATCTTGTCCTCTCCGTCACCCCAGCCCCAAGGGCAGCCTTGGTGACATCCAGCTGCACAGTGAGCCTAGTCTCAGAACTCTCCATGCCCAGAGATTTCCAGCCTGCAGGTGAGTCTGCTCCATCTTCCCCTCCCCAAGGAATTGGGTGGCTCTCCGGAGGGCAGGAACCCTCTGGTCCCCAGAATGAGAGGGAACCAGAAAGGCAGCACCCTCCATGCCAGCACGTGTCTCCTGCCCTCCGCCCTGTGGTTGAGTTGTAGAAGTTCCCCAGTAATCGAGTCTGTCTGGGACCTCAGGACCTGGCCCCCTGAGACACAGGCTATTGGGTATCGTATCCTTTGGATGCCATGTGCTGGGCATGTGTTTGGACAGTTGTCTCTGTGTGTGTCATGTGTTGTGATGGTTGTGACTGGCAGGTATGGCTGGTGTGCATCCACCGGTTGTCTGTATGCCCTTGGGATGTGTACTTGAGCGCGTGTATGTAAATGTGTGTGTCTATTGCTGTGTGGACCATGTGTGCAGGTGTGTGTTGTGCGCTTGTGGCATATGTGTTTACCATGCATCTGTTTGCATCTCGCCGGTGTGTGTGTGCAGATCTGAACGGGCATGTGCTGGGCTGCACTCACGGATTCGTGGCCCTGTAAGGACCATCATCGGGGGTGGTCTTGGAGGCAGTGGTTCCGTCTCTCCCCTCACCTGGCCGACCTTCCCCTGAAGACTGCATATGGGAGGCCGCAGGCATGCCCAGGCCAGTTCCTGCCTCTCCCCCACACCTTTGGCCAGGGCCACCAGGGGCCAGGGTAGGTGGGTGAGCCTGGGGCCAGGGCTCATGTGACCCCCGCTCAGTGCTTGGCCTCCTCCCCTCCCCACAGCAGGAGCAGCAGCGGGAAAGGTTGGCGGAGGGGGGCTATTTTGGGAGCGTCTCCTTAGCAACAGCTGCCACGGCCGTCTGTGGCGGTTTTTCTATAGGTGCTAAAATATTCCACCCTGGTGACTACTGAGTGCTGGGGGGTGGGTGTGGGTGGGGGCGGAGGGCAGGAGAGACCCCTACAGTTCTCAGTCCCCAGGACACTGCCTGCAGAGATGGCTCCTGGCCTTCTGAACCCCCAATATCCTTCTCTCTGCCTCTGGACCTTGCCCTTTGCAGCTGCCAGGACTTTGGTGTCCTCAGGCAGCCAGCTGTGTCCTGATTTGATTTCTCATCTATGCAGCTGGGTGGCCTCAGTTTGCCTCATCTGCAAAACAGGCTGGCTGGCTGTCAAGGAACTTTGTAGTCTAAAACTCTGGACTCCAATTCTGGCATCTCCAAGTGGCCCTTTCTCTCTCCTGCCCACCTGTGTTACCTGCCTGGCCCCAGTCCCCCTAGCTGTGCCCTCCTAGCCCTTTGCACATCCTCTCAGGGACTCTGGACCCCCAGCAGGCTTCCAGAGCTGGCTGGATATTGAGTGCTGTGCTGGCCTGGAGTGACCTTTGTAGAACCTCAGAGTTGAAACCAAGTTTAATTCCTTGCTCTGACATTTGCTCATTCCGTGGCCAACCCTGGGCAGGCCACATCCTTTCTGTGTATCCGTTCCTGAGGGGTCCTACGTAGCCTCTGCCTCAGGAATCTGTGGAGGTCAAACTGGAGATGGGAACCTGGGGGTGGGGCTGGGCTCTGAGAAAATGGATGGATGGAGGATTGCGCATCGTCCATTCCCTCTCAAACTTCAGTGTGCTTGTCGTCCTCTTCCAGAGCGTCCTCTAGCCAGCCAGGCCACTCGCTCAAAATGTTCCCTTTCAGTTTTCCCATGGGGAACAGTGCCCACATCACAGAGTTCCTGTAGGGATCGAGTGAGACAGGGGCTGCGGTGGGCTGGACTAGTGCTCGGCTAGTAGCACAAACTCCACGGAGCCTCACTGTCCTGGCCCTCGAGGGTGTCCTTACCAGGGCCACTTGTCCTTAGCGAGCCAGCCCAGACAGGTCCCACGACCGAGGAGGCCTCTGAGGTCCAGGGAAGACAGGCCTTTCTCCTAGTGCCCTTACGTACAGACACTCACACGTACACGCACAGGTACACGCGTGCACACAGACACGCACACACTGGTCTCTCACACCTGTCTCACATCATTCCTTCCCACCACCTACTTAAAACAGGGGCAGAAACTACTCAGACTTGGGCTAGACCATGGCAGTTCTCATTTCATCTTTAATCATCCTCAAGACAGCTGCCCAGAGCAGGTTTTCTCCATCTGCTTGCCGCGTGAAGAGACCAAGATGCAGAGCAGAGAAGGTGAGTGGCCCAAGGTCACGTTTTCAGTGGTGGAATAAGGACTGTCTTTCCTGCCCCAAATCTCTGCCCACCTGGAGCTGTCCTTCCTGCTTCGCCTTACCTTCTTCAGACCGTCCTATTGGCAGGAGTGGAGCAGCTATCGCCAGGTGCAGCCCAGGCCCAGCCAGGTAACCCCAGCCCTACCACAGACGTGGGCCCAGGGACCTGGTGCTGGAGGACCGATCTTGTCGTAGTAGACACACTGCATCTAGATGTCCCTGTCCCTGCATCCTTCCTTGTCTCTGCTCTCTCCTTGCCCTGCACCTGCACTCCCAGGGCAGCCATGAGGCCGGCCCTCTGGCCAAGGATGAGACTGCTGGTCCTTTGCCACACCTGTGTCCTGCCCACTTCCCACGTGTGCAAGGGCACCAGGTGCACACTCCTGCTACCTAAGTGCTTGGCCTGCTGGTCACCCCATCCACCCGTAGGTGGGAGGCTCACGACAGGAGACATCAGCCCTGCTGCCTGCCTGAGGGCACTGCAGGGTCATGGGGGAGGTAGGCATGGACCGAGACTTGGTGCCCTATGGTCCTCCGAAGCCTGCACCAAGACGAAGCACCTGCCTCTAGGCACTGCTCCAAGCTACACCTTTCTTTTCCTTTCACCCAACTGAACCTGACCCTTGAGGGAGGGGTGTGTTAGGGTCCCCACCTCACACACAGGTTAAGTGAGGAACTCAGCCAAAGTCATATAGCTCCTCAGTGCTTTTGAGCCCAGTTGGCCTGACTCCCAGACTCATTGAGTACATACAGAACCCTGCTCACACCCAGCCCAGGGGCTGACACAGGGCAACAGGGTGATGAACGAGTGGGGGGCGAAGGACTTGCGCTGGTGGCAGGAGGAGGCCTTCTCCGGGAAGTGGCCCAGAGGCCAGACTTGGAGAATAGCTGGCAATCTCTGGGCAAAGAAGGCAGAAGGGCATTTCAGGCAGGAGGAACAGCACGTGCAGGGAGAGAGGTGTGGAGGCATCTGGTGTGTTCTGGAATCTGTGGGAACCGGAGTGTACAAGTGGGTGTGTGGTGTGCACAATAAGGTGGGGCTGAGGCGTTGGCCTGGGTCCCTTTGGGTGGGGAGATCACCCTGGGATGGCAATAGTCACAGTGGACCTGTCCTTGGGGGATCAGCTGGGAGGAAGAGGGGAGGGACTCCACATTCACCGGCTCTCCACCTGTCTCCCTCTGAACAGGCTCCTGGGAAAGTTCTACGGCTGTCTGTCTAGCTGCGAGCACTCTCTCCGCCTGCCCCCGGGAGAGAGAAGCACCTCCCTCCTTTCTCTTCGGAGAGTGAGGTGGCAGTAGGATGGCCACGATGTAGCTGGCTCCCCAGGGGCCCTGGGTTGCTGGGGGCCCAGACTCACGAGCACACTGGCGCTGCCAGGGCAGAAGGGCCCTGTCCTCCCTTATGAAGACAGCTTAGTGAGACCCAGAAATGGGGCTGGCAGATAACACGAGACTGGGGTTTAGTCTGGCTCTGCCACCTCCGGGTGACCTTGGACGGACCCTCTGGTGCTCTCAGTCTGCGGATCTGCAAAGCATAGTGGTGCTGACAGGTGAGAGCACCAGGCTCCCTCGGGCAGGGCCACCTCAATCAAGTGCTTAAGGTTCCTAATGCTGGGCCCTCTGAAGGGAAGAAGGACCCCCAAATAGAGGAGCAGGCGCCCTCGGACCCAAGGCCGACACCAATCGCTCCCACCCAACCCCTTCTAGGTCCCTAGCAGCCCTCCCCACCTGCCCCTCGGGGGACTGGAAAACCCGGGAGCGGGCATACGGAGCGGATTCCATGAGGCGCGCTCGTGGGGCGCAGAGGAAAACCCGGCCAGGATCTGGGGCAGGAGCGGAGCCCCTTAGGCCCTAGCCCAGGCCCCCGATCCGCACCGCGCGCCCTGCGGGAGCGGGTTTGACGCCCGGGTCGACGTAAGGGACCGGGCAGAGTCTGGCCCCGCAGGCAGCCGAGGGCTCCCGACTGGGGGAGCGCGCGACTCCGCAAACAATTTGGTTTACACACAAAAGTGGCAAAATTTTGTTTTTGTTTGCAAGCTCTATATTAACTGACAAGCATGACTGAGGTCATCTTTCCCATGCAAACACAAATGTGACCATCTTTTCCAAAACTGTGGAATACATGAAGTTTGTGAACCCTCTAGTTTGTGGGATTTGTTAAAATTGAGGAGTTCCTGAAATTCTAGCGTCTCAGATTCAGGGTGGTTGTAGGGTGGGACAGGATATCTTAACAAGTAACTGTGGAGAGTCCTGGGCCCAATGCAGTTGAAAACTCATGCGGTGTGATTTGGGGTCTTCACTATTGTTGTCCATGGTCTATGAGTCCCTGATGATGCTATGACAGATTTAGTGAGACCTAGAGGAGCCCCCCAAAGAAGGGACAGGGATAGTTATGGAGATGATGTAAGTCTTTGATAGTGGTTTTACCTCTACCCTTTCCCATGTATCCAAAATAAAGACCTCCACATGACCTGAGCACATCCTGTGCCATTAAGCAGCCTCACCCCTATCCATGCTCCTGGGCACAAGCATTTACAGTGGGAGCTAGACTCTGGGTTCAGGATATTGCCTTGATTATGTTATACACTTGTTCTTAGCCAAAAGACTGAGAAGTGATAACCTTGATTCTGTTATATTAGGCTCTTGGGCTACTATTTCCATATATTCATATCAACTACATACCACAAAATAGTGATGATGATGATGATGATATAATGATCATACTTCTTCATGAGTATAACTACACTACAGCCATCATAGCGTTTGGTCCCATGACTTCCAGAGCTGGTGCGCGCCGTCTGGGTGTCCATCGGTGATCGATGGGTTTGGAGGAGAGGACAGGCAGAAAAGGCGCCTTAACCTCCTGCCCAGCCATGACCCTCAGCTGCCTCCACCCACCCCCGCTGTCATGCCCCAGAGCTTCACGAAAGCTGACTTGTAGCAAGGTTTAGGGGCTGGGGGATTTCTCTTTCTCATCTCCCCACCTGCAGCTTTTTTGCAGACGGCCTTTCGATTTGACAGAAATCCCTCTTCTCCTGTTTTGAGCATATACTTTGTGCCAGGCAACCCCAGAGAGTGGTCAGAGATCCAGCAGATGCAGCACCTCACCTTTTACAGGGACGGAAACTGAGGCTAGGGAAGGAGGGAGAGACTGCTTTTTCCTTCCCAAGGAAGAGCGACGTGATGAGCCCCTGCTCAAGGAGAACTTGCCCTGCCACCTGCAGAATGTCTCCCACCCATACTCGGCCCACCATGTCCAGACTACCGGAAGGGACAGGATGGCCAGTGTGGGAGAGGCCAGGGGAGGCAGGTGGCTGGGCTCTGGTGACAGGCAGAGGCCTTAGGGAGGGTAGCAGGGCACCGGTAGGCTGAAGGCCGCAGGAAGAGAGGGGAGGATGTGACATCTCTGCTCCCCCCTCCAGTCCTGTGATCTCCCCAGCTGCAGGCCTTTGGGGGCTGTTAGGCAGCAGGTATCACACAGTGGCCCTGGCTTGGCCTCTGGTATGGGGAGCAATGGAAGAATAGGGGAGCTGGGATGAGGGATGGGGACAAGGGATGCTGGCCACTGAGCCAAGCTGGAGCCCGGAGGCCTCCACCTAGAATATCTGGCTATAGTCTGCACCAGAAGGAAGGACTCTTTCTGGGGTTTTTCATACTGGGCAGCCAGCCTCCCACATCCTCCATACAGGTGCTCAGAAATTAGTTCATCCAAGGAGTCACTGCTGGGCAGGTCACTTTCCTCCCTGAGCCTCAACTTCCACATCTGGGGAATGGGAACATCGCCTCTGCCCCACTGACCTCCAATGGGTTCCCTAAGCAGGAGGCTGTTCCCAGACTGGGGGAAGCACTAGGGAGATGGGGCGAGGACTCATTTACCTTTAAGGAGATGAGTAGCAAAATAGGGGGGTAAGAGAAATATGGCTGGAAATGGGGCTGATCAAGAGCAGGAGGATCCAGGAGTTAGAGCAGGGAGCTGCGGCCTGGGAGTTATTCCTCATGACCTCTCGGGCTCCCCTGGAAAAGAGATCGCCTTTCCCAAAAAAAGCCTTTGAGGTGACGGTGCCCAGACAGAACTGGCCATGGGTTTCTGTGGGAGTGACCTTGGACAGCTGGCTTGACTTCTCTGAACCTCAGTTTCTTCACTGGAGAATGGGGTGTGGGCCCTGACTTTGCCGAGGTGTTGAGCCGTCCGCCCCGGTTGCGGGAGCCGGGAGCACAGAGGAACGAAGTAGCAGTAGCGTAGGGTGCTATGGAAAGATTCCCAAGCCCTGGATCTGAAGGAAGGAGGAGGAACCGAGCGGGCTTACAGGGCAGGCTGGTTCCCAATGTGGATCTGGGGGAGGCGGGGGCGAGTGCCGAGGGGGGTGTGAGGAGGAGGGGGCCCCTCTGCGGGGACCACTGAGTCACGAGGACATGGAAG